CCGGGTATTTGGCGAAGAGGGATTGAATAGTCTTGTTAAAAACAGGAAAGAGCCATGTCATGTCTCAAAACTAAAAAGTTATATTTGGCCTAAGCTTTCACGGACTACAGCTGACCAGTCAGAGGAATGTGATGTGGAAAATCGAATTGACAATCAATGTGTGTGCAATAAAATCAGTTAAACGTCCATATAAATGGGAGCATGTTCCTGCCTCTCCTTTTTGCTTGTTATGAAATAATCGTCAGATTTAAGTCACCCAAATAAGTAAAATATTAACATAAATACATTATATTAATTATTATATAATATTGAATCTATTAACAATATAATTAAATGAGTAAGCACAACAATATGTTAATATTATATTTAATAATATTAAATTGATTAAAGTTATATTTAAAATTATCAGACTTTCCCAAACTCATTTATGCTATGCTATTAATTAGAAGGATCCTCTTGAATAAACTAATTGATTGGGAAGGGAGTGAAGTCAATTGTATCCGTAAGTTTTTTTCTGTAGCCCAAAGTCTGAAGTATTATTTTATACTGGAGGGGAGATCATGGGTTATTCATAGCTATTTTCAATTTTTTAAAAATTAATGATTGTGCAGTATGAATTAGAAGCAACCGATTTTTTCCCTATTAGTGCTGGTCTAACGAAAGAGCACAATGCAGGAAAAATCAACCACTTCATTGATTTCAGTAGCATTTAAGTGTAGCTTGCACGCTGCATTAATTTCAGCGGGAGTAAGACAAGTTTTTAAGAGGGCTGGATCGTCTCCTACGTTAGCGATACTGCCCCACAGCCCATACCACATTAAACAACTCAAAATATCCTGGGCTAGAAGATCAGGCCGAAATCAATACCCAATCAAAATTATTTGAAGCTGGCTTGCTCAAGAATCTGTTTCGGGTTGAATTGGTGACGAGAAAATAATCTGATGGGCAATTAATTTTTGCTTACGATTTTGTTGTATTTGTGGTGATGATTTATTGTGATTCCCAGTGAGGTGGAGAGGATAGAGTGACGGACTAGGATTTTAGAGAACAGGGTTCGAATCTCCACTTGGCCATGGAAACTCACTGATGGTGTGTGGACTTGGCAAAACCACTCCTTCCCTATCTCACTTACCCTGAAATCCCTATAATTCGGTTCTGACTCGAGGGCATAGAACACACACATTTATTGTTGAGTCACGTGGAAAACTTTTCACAGGTGGCGCCTTATGGATGAAATAATTGGTAGATTGGTTTCACCGAAATTAATTGCGTTTAATTGGATTTGCACAGGAGTGGGACCCAATGGGTTCGGTTAAACAAGGCTTCCACAGAGAACTTACACTCCTACCTGAAAATAAATCCCATTTGACACAGTGACACTTGATTGTTAAGAGAAATATATACCCTGCACGCCCACTTTGTGTGAGAAAGGCGACTTACAGCAAATAAATGCCATTAGAAGTGCACCACAGTTATGCTCACATCCCTTCCTCCAGCTCAGCGGAGGAAACGGAGACAGCTTCTCTAAAATGCATTTGCATAGAGAAGGTTTTCCCCAGGGTGGGCAGCTGCTGGCCATGCAGACGTGGTGGGAGTCATATTCCCAGCAATCCCCGCCACTGGCTACGGTGCCTCGGAATGCTGGGAGACACAGTCCAACAACATCTGGCAGAGTGCAAGTTGTCCATGCAAAGGCAAGGAGAACAGCATGACGGCACAGAGCGAAAACGATTAGGGTGAATTAGAGAGAATTCCCAGGAGACAGTGGCGGATTAGGACTGCGGAGAACAGGGTTCGAATCCCCCCTCGGCCACGGAAACGGGGGGTAAAACTCCTTAAATTTCTCACCTTGAAAACTCTATTAAGGTCGCTCACTATCAGTCGGTTCGGACTTGACGGCACAGAACACACACAGAGAAGAGTGAATTAGTGCTCCCGCGCAGGGTTTAACCAGCCATGACACGAGTAAAATATTGGCAAGATCTTGGGGACAATCCAGTGAGTGAATGAATTAAGTTTGAAATAAAGGCTGCTGGCAAAGACTGCTATTCTCTCCACATATACTGTATACCTCTCCCATTCAACTCTATGGGACTTACGCTTGCTGTGTGCGCCCCTGTTGTCATGGAACCCGATGGAGATTTCTGGAAAACTCGTGAACCTGCATGTTTTTGGGGACCTCGGGTCCGTCCAGGATGGATTATGGCATTAAAGCTGGTTGCTTCTGGCAGGATCACGATAACGACTGCCGCAAAAAGAAATCGCAAAGAACGAAATCGCGGTTGTGCTTAACCTGTTGCAGGAATTGTGGGGCACCTTTTACAAGTGGCAGATTTATTTCAGGATCCGGCTTCGTGGATGTCCACCGATCTCCTCGAACTACTTCGCCGAAAACTCTGTCCGGCATCTGTCCCGCGCAGAAACGGATTACTTATTTTAGGGATTGTATCTGTTCAGCTTTCTATACTTTTTAATATTCTGGTCCTACTGGACTGCAATTTAAAGCAAAACAAAAGCAGAAGTAGATGTCTCGTTGAAACTGAATTCCGAGGGAAAAAAGTGTTGTTGAAAAGAAACAAGGACGCCTGAGAACATGGAATCGGATGCTTAAAAATAGACACCACACCGGACATATTGTAGGGCCGGATAATGACCGAAAGGCGTGGGTAACCTGGCGTCCTTCAGATGTATTTAGGACTACAATTCCAGTAAGTCTTGATCTAGGTTGCAGGTGCCCATGGGAACTGGGGTAGTTAACATCTGGAACGCCTCAGCTTACGACTCCCCCTCCACTTGAATGGACTCATCCAGTTTCGTACCTGCACGCGCAGTCTTATGAATTTTCTTGGAAATGAATTGTACTATTGGGGGGGGGGGGGTTATCTCGGATGTGTATACTTATTGCAGACGTAACACGTAATTCCGTTGTTTTCCCGGATATTTTCATTTCATTTCAACTGGTGGAGAGGTCATTTTAGGATCGGGGTCCTTCTTGACTCATTCAAGGGGACAAGGCGTGATAGCATCGGACTTGGGGGTAGCCCCACCGTATGCAGAAGTAAGAATCATGTTAAGGTAGAGGAAAAAGCCGGAGGGGGATCCCTTGAGAAATGCTCTCAAATGAGTCCGTGTCTTACGTCGGACAGTGTTGTTAGACGAGAGGATTACTGGGTGGGAATGGGTGATGAATGGCAGAGAGAAGAAGAAGAGGGAAAGAGTGACACGGGAGGAAAGAAAGAAGCGAGATCACGCAGAGCTGAAAGATATATTGCCTTAATTTTTTTTAAAAAAATCATTAATTGAAAGCCTCTTGGAATTGGGAAGGATATTGACGCTGGAATAGGCGCTCAGCCCAATTGTTGTAATTTTTCTTTCTTGTTTGCTTTGGGTGGTTTGGTAGCACTTCTCGGTTTCGCACCACAACCCTCCCCCGCCCCCTTTGAAGCTACAGGTTTTTCGAATTGCTGAGAAAGTTACGGATGAGGATTTTTGAAAGAGGAAGCCAGTCATCTCCGTCGTAGCGCTGCAGCCACTGCTGGGATTCCGTACCAGCGTGGACTGTCCTTTTAAAAAAGGGGTGGGTGGGAAAGCCCCCGGTAACTGATCGAACCTTTCATTCCGGGCCGGCTCTAGTTTCATAATAACAGAATCACATTATGGCTTGTTTTTCCCTCTCTGGTCGCCAAGATGGCAGCATCCCTTGACCCAGATTGCCACCCCCGCCTCCTCCATTCAGCTAGAGCCAGGAGCACTTTAACTTCATTCCTTTCAATCCCTGCATGGACCTGTGGGTTTCATTTCTCTCTTATTGCAGCGAATTTTAAGCAATCCGGGTGAACCTTAAAAGACACGCCCTTTTAAAAAGGTTTTCTCTTGTATTTCTGTAAATGAAACAGGCTGCTCAAAATATCTTTATGACTATAAGAATAACTTTATTCATAGGTTTAGGTTGAAAGTTCCTTCCCATTCCCTTATTAATTAATTAGTTTATTTAAAATATTTTTTAACTCCGCCTTTCTCCTTAACGGGACTCAAGGCGGCTTACAACTTTTCTATTAGTAAAAAAAAAAAATTGAGCGTCTGTACCGATGTTTTAACAACACGCGTGCTTATTTCCGCTGGGTCCACTATGCCTACATTGATTGACGGGTTTTTAAGAGGCCAATAACTGAGCAAGAAGAAATGGGTAGAGGTCAGCGCCCGGGAGGGCTTATGACAGATAAAACTTGCTAGTCAATCAGTTTCTTTGCTGCCTTTACTGCGAGTCCTGTGCCAGTGGATGCGCAAGGCATACCGGTCAATTTAAAAACAAGTGCAGGATTATTCCTTAGACTGACTGGGTGGACATTTTGTCAACACGATGAGTCGATAAATTGTATCCAATCCAACCGGACTTAATCGAGTACTGTAGTTCTAGACATCAATATGTAAATCCAACTGCTGATCCGATTAGAATAAATGTGTGAAATCAGCGACTGAAGAATGAGTCAACACTTAAGGAAATGTCATTGATTCAGCGAATCTGCTCTAGTTGCCACTACCAGTTAGATTCAAGTCCAAGCTCTAGGACGTCTGTTTCCAACCCCAGGTGTAACCGCCTTACGTGGGTTGTCCCTGAAAAGGCGGAATATATATTAATAAGAGCAGGCAAAATAAAAGGGCTTTTCTGCAAGCTTCAAATACAGAAGATGGCCGGAGTTTCATCCAATTTGTAATCCTTAAAACGCACCGCCGCAGCGGTGTCTCTGGGTGGTGGTTTCCGTTGTTGTCAGGTGCCCTCAAGTCGTTTCTGAGTCATGGAGGCCCAACGCATTCATGTCCTCCAAAAGGCCCCATCCTCACCTCTTGCAAACGCCAGGTGTACTGCTTTCTCCCCCGAGTCAATCCATCCTATATTTGCTCTTCCTCTTTTCCTGCTGACTTCAACTTTTCCCTCCATTATTATCTCATGTTTCCACGGTGATTCCTCACGTTTGTTTCCAACCTTGCCTTTCCCTTAGGCGGCTCCTATCTGGTGGAGCCGGAGGAGAACAAGCGGACCAGGACGGCCTACACGAGGGCGCAGCTGCTGGAGCTGGAGAAAGAGTTCCTCTTCAACAAGTATATCTCCCGGCCCCGCCGGGTCGAGCTGGCGGTCATGCTGAACTTGACCGAGCGGCACATCAAGATCTGGTTCCAGAACCGACGGATGAAGTGGAAGAAGGAGGAGGACAAGAAGCGCGGCGCCGGGAGCGGCGGAGGCGGGAGCAGCCAGGAGCCGGAGCAAGACTGTGCGGTGTCGTCGGGCGACCTGGCCGGGAAGGAGGAGGTGGAAGAGGAGCCCCCGCAGGTGGCGGGAAAGCTGGGCTCCCTGGAATTGCTCC